GGGGCAAACTATCTACGTCATCTCCAATGTTAACCCAGTCAGAATATTCATGACACAACCTGCTTTCATGAACTGGCGGTTAGCGAAATGGGCTTTACTGCTGTCCCAATACGACTTGCATTTTAAACAAAAAAAATCAGTTAAGGGACAAGCTATTTGTGATCTCCTGGCGGCAAACCCAACTACAGATACCGCCGAGGTGTACGATGATTTGCCAGATGAAACCCACAAAGTCAACGTAACCTCCCATCAACAGGTGTGGCGTTTGTACTTCGACGGGGCCTCTCGAGCGACCAATGTAGCAAGTGCTCCTGGACCCTCTAAGATTTCCTCCGGAGTTGGAGTTGTCTTAGTTTCCCCAGGAAAACACGTGATGCCTAGAGCTTACTCGCTGACCGAGCTGTGCTCGAACAACGTAGCTGAGTATAATGCGCTGCTTATTGGACTCAGCTTTGCCAAAGAGCTGGGGGTCGAATATCTCGAAGCTTTCGGTGATTCTCAGCTAGTAGTTAAACAAATTCAGGGAGAGTATGAGGTCAGAAATCAAGACTTAATACCATACCACAAGGTGGCCGTTGAGATGGCAGAATCGTTTGAAGGATTCTTCATCGAATACATTCCACGCTTACAAAATATGTACGTAGACGCGCTTGCAGCATTAGCTGTGTCCCTGGCACAACCTCCCAAAACGGAACAGTTCGTTACGGTGAGAACTCACCAACTCTTCGTGCCGGTAAGAACTCACCAACTCTTAGTGTCAATCTACGATGAAGATGACAAAGAAGAGGATGTTAAGGAGGTATATTCAACTCAAGTCGAGTTTGAACCCCGAGATTGGCGTTTCCCTATCATCGATTATGTCTTACATGGAATCTTACCAGAAGACGTGAAGGAGAGGGACTCAATCCGACGAAGAGCACCAAGATTCTACTATAACACGGAGAGTCGAACGCTATATCGCAGGGGGTACGATGACTTGCTACTACGTTGCTTATCGATTAAAGAAGCAGAAGAAGTCCTGAAAGAGACGCACGAAGGGGTTTGCGGTGCACACAAACTTGGCCCCAAACTTTATGATCGCACCATGATCAAAGATGCAGTCGCATATGCCCGGAAGTGTCATGCGTGTCAAGTGCACGCGAATTATATGCACCAACCCCCGGAGCATTTACATCCTTCGGCGACCTCGTGGCCTTTTGAGATTTGGTGAATGGATATTGTTGGACCCATAAATCCCCCGTCAGTCAGAGGTGACCGATTTATTCTCGCGATTACCGATTACTTCTCCAAATGGGCTGAAGCGATTCCGCTCAGGGAAGTTAAGACAAGCAACGTTATCGCATTCATCAAACACCATATCATTTACCGATATGGTGTCCCAAGACGGATTATACACGACAATGGTCCTCAATTCGTCAGCAATGCCTACATTAAGTATTGCGAGAAGTTCAGAATTCAGGACCTCTCGTCAACAGCGTACAATCCCATAGCAAACGGATTAGCTGAAGCCTTTAACAAGACTATCATCAAGCTTCTATCAAAACTCATGAAGACTAACAAACGAGATTGGGATGATAAACTCGGCAAAGCACTATAGGCTTACCGTACCACAGTTCGCACGCCTACTGGCGCAACCCCGTATTCTTTGGTGTACGGGTGTGAAGTCATCCTTCTGTTGGAAATACAGATTTCATCTCTTCGAATCGCTCACGCAACCCAGATGACGACAGAAGAACAACATCAGAAACGTCTCGAAGAACTCGAAATGCTCGATGAAAAGCGCTTAGAAGCTCAACAACACATTGAGTTTTACCAAGCCAGAATTTCTCGAGCTTTCGACAAGAAGGTTCGACAACGGAGTTTTAAATAAGGAGATTTGGTCTTAACTGAAAGACGGCCTATGATCCTTAACTCCAAGAAGAAATGTAAATTTGAACCCAAATGGGAGGGACCATTCGTAGTAGAGACAGTCTACTCGAGTGGCGCATATCGCCTAATTACCAAGGATGGTGGTCGGCTTATGATGCCGATAAACGACAAGTTCTTGAAAAAGTACTATCCTTAGTATTTTCAGGATAACCAATGTATCGGGAAGTTCCCAGAAGAATACCGCATGTGATATTCTTAGGGATAACCCCTTGCTATGAAAGTAATGAATAAGAAATCCACACTTGGACTCTGAATGTATTCAAAGCTGAAGCATATTTTATTGTTAATATCGAATTCACAAACTCTCATGAGTTATTTTGTTGAGACGAGATTCAATCCTTTTGACAGATCAACCTTTCCTCACAAAATCCACCACTGATCAAGTCAATTGACAGTGGGCCCACTAAAATTTCTATCCGCCAATTTACGGCGATTCTCAAAACTTGACGTGTTAAGTCCTAATCACTTAACATCAAAATTTCCCATTGAGTGGCTAGTACAAACCAGTATTTCTACTGATACCCGTATTCCGCTCTCTTTGCTTTCATGTCAAACCTATAATAGTTAGGGCCAAAGCCAGATTCTCCTCTCGATTCCTTCCATGAACGAGAGGTCCATTTTAAATTCGAGCAATCAAACCTATAAAAGTTAGGATTGTCTCCGACTTCACTTAGTCAAACCTGCAGATAGTTAGAACTAAGATAGAGTCATCCCTTTCGATAAACGAAAGACTTCCAGAAATTCCTTTTCAGCCAAACCTATAAAAGTTAGGGTCGAAATCAGAATTTCCCCTCAATAAATGAGGAACTCTTTTCTCAGCCAAACCTATAAAAGTTAGGGTCGAAATCAGAATTTCCCCTCAATAAATGAGGAACTCTTTTCTTAGATCAAACAACCAATCCTATAAAAGTTAGGGTCGTTTGAATCTTTTCGATTCTCGGAGTGGAGATCCCACTTTTAGTTTCATCTTTCCGGATTCTGAGGGGTGGAAATCCCACCTCGAGTTTCCTTTCCAACTGGAGATAGAATATAAAATTCTTCCTACTCGGTGTTGAAAGATAGAATATAAAATTCTTCCTCTTTTATTTTTTGGGTTCGTCTTTACCCTAAACAAGACCTGGAGCCAAGAATATAAAATTATTCCACTCCAACATCGGGTTCGTCTTTACCCCGAGAAAAGACATAATTCTCAACTTCAAATCCGTACATTCCATGCACGGGGAATTTTATCTCGACTCCTAAATAGAGATAAGTCTACGCCTAACACGCGTTGCCGGTTTAGTCTTTCACCGATTGAAAAAGACACCAGAGTATAATTCTGGGGACTTTTATCTCGAATCCTAAGTAGGGATGAGTCAACGTCTAATATGCGTTGCCGGGTACCATATTCCCGTAAGAAATGGTGAAGTCTATGTATTCAAAATCATAACACTAAATCTAAGAGAATTAACTCTCTTAGCGCAACGTTACATGTGAAACGGATTTTAATAATTCACATGATAGCCCGATTCAAACGGTAATCGGTAAAGGCACATCAAACCCGTTGAAGGCTGGGGGTTTGCTAAAAATCCTAAAGTCTATGTCTAACACACATCGCCGGTTTAGTCTTTCACCGATTGAAAAAGACACCAGAATCTAAGTCTGGGGAATTTACCCCGCAGCCTAAGAAGGGGTAAGTCAACGCCTAAAACACGCGTTGCCGTTTAGTCTACTCCAACGAGAAAGACGAAGCATATGTATTCAAAGTCATAGCACCAAGTCTAAGTGAATTAATTCTCTTAGCGTAACGTTATGTGCGGAACGGATCCAAAATAATCCGCACATTAACCCGACTCAAACGGTAGTCGGTAAAGGCTCATCAAACCCGTTGAAGGCTGGGGGTTTGCCAAAAATCCCACAAGTATTATGGTTGATTATTCCATACGGAGTAAGACATCATAATAAATGAGACATAATGAATGAAAAAGACATATTTTCTATTAATAAAATTGAGTTTGCAGGTACAAAAGTCATGGTCAATCTACATGAAGCTTATGGCTAAGAACTTGTTGCTCTAACTTAGATAATTCCACAGTATAAGCTTGCTCAAGCTCACTCCGTATCGTGATCTTCATAGAGTCTTCATCAGCAGCCAATACCTTCACGGCCTCCGCTTTCGTCGCAGCCAACTTCTCCTTAGTGAGTGTCAGCTGTCCAGACGTCTCCTCTCGAGCGTGCTCCGCATGTACCCTCGTTATCTTCAAAGCAGCTTGAGCGTCCTTCGCTGCTTTTAACTCTAGCTCGAGTCGTGCTATAGTAGCATCACCTGATGCAAGAGAGGAATCAATATTGTAAAGAATTGTTGATCTGCCAGCATAAGCCGCTTCCATTTGGTGAACAAGACCCTCCGCTTCTCGAATCTTAGAATCAACAGATATTTGAGCTTCGCGCCATGCTTGTAACTTGGCTTCCATCTGAGCGTCTACATATGAAGAAACTCCGGCTACCTGAAATCCCTTCAGCTTTGCAAGTTCGCACTCAAGGCAAACCAAGTCTGCAGTAATAATGTCCGCCAGGTCTGAATACCCTTGACTCCTTAGAAGAGTCACTTGGTTGTCGAGATATGACTTGAAGAGACTAATAGAAAGCCCGTTGCGGAGGAGATTGTCAACCATCTCGTTCACGAACGAGAAGAAAGAGCGAATTTCCATGCGAAGGAGAATTTTATCTGGGTCGTTATTAGATAGTAGCGCCGTGACGAGATCATAAAGCTGAGTTGAGAGTCCTAAAAAGAAGAGTAGCTATTTAGGAATCTTAGTCCGAATAGTTTCAAGATAAATATCGAAACAGGGCTCACCAATAACTACTGAAGGTTCTCTAGTTTGACACTCTGCGTTCGACACCCCTTGCACGCTTGTATAAGTTGTCGAAGTTATTGCGGATGTAATAATCGCAGATGTACCGACTTCTTCAGTTGGTCTTGCGATTTTTTCAGCTGGGTAGACCCCCGCAGCTGCAGTAGTCATCTCGGTTGCCAGGGTCGTGTGCTGAGTTTGGGCCACTGACGACTGAGTTTCTATTATAGTTCCTGCCAACAGCAAGAAATCAAGACCCTCAGGATCATCAGATATCCCAACAATAGTAGCTGCATCAGTCTTAACGACTGGTCCTACAAGTATGACTCCCTTAAGGATTAAAGTGAAACCGATAAGGGAATAATTTTTATAAAAGAACAAAATCCAAAATTTTCGGTTTTCTCCTAAAATTAAAGAGTGCGGACTGCAATATCAAATCATGAACACAAGCCATGCTCACCAAACTCAACAAAATTTCGGCCATGAGTGAGTTCATCCAAAATTCGGTTCTTTCCCAAGAATAAATAGTTGAGGACTGCAGTTATCAAGTCATGAAGTGAGTTCATCCAAAATTCGGTTCTTTCCCAAGAATAAATAGTTGAGGACTGCAGTTATCAAGTCATGAACACAACAGAAGCCAAAAATTCGTCTTTCCCAAGAATAAATAGTTGAGGACTGCAGTTATCAAGTCATGAACACAACAGAAGCCAAAAATTCGGACATTGCACAAATTCAAGAATAAAATCAAGATTTTCGGCTATCTATATATATGCATGAAAAAAAAAGAAAAAAAAAGAAAGAGCATGAAATCAAGCATGGAATAATCCACATCCAAGTTTCCGGCCATGTACAGTCAATTTTCGGCTACCAACAAACCCAATGCAATTTGAGGAATTAGGGTTTCAAACACCCCATACAACCAAGTATCCAAGACTAAGAGTTCAACCAAAATCGAAACAAGGACAATGGAAGTTACCTGAATTCGAAGAAGAATCAAGGAGGAAGAAGACCCGTTGAAACAAAATCCACCAAGTGCCCCAATCCACAGCCGAAACCCTAGCTCCCAAAAAAACCACGAATCCAACTGATTGTAGAGGTATGGAGGAGAAGGAAGTGAAGGATTTAAAGAAAGGGGTTTTGCTTGAGTTGGAATTTTGAAGCTGGAGGAGTTCTTGGAGGGTTAGAAAACCGAAGATGGGGGAAGAACAAGAGAGATGGAACCGGAGCTTGAAGAAAGAAGGAAAATCGGGATTTTTTTATCCCTTTTCACCCCCCTCCCTCCCCCCCCCCGCGGGTCGGATTAATCCGACCCGCGATCACGCGGGTCGGATCCATCTGACCCGCGTGAACGCGGGTCGGATCCATCTGACCCGCGTGAACGCGGGTCAGATCCAGTTTGGCGCCCATTTTGCTGTATTTTCGCCTGTTTTCACCCGTTTTTCGAATGTTCGGAGTCCAACCTCATCTCCCGGATAATTTCGCGGCATTTTCGCTCATATTTGGAACGTTTCAGAGTTCAATTTCATCTCCCGGATAATTTGGCGGCATTTTCACTCAGATTCGGAATTTTCGGAGTTCAATTTCATTTCCCGGATAATTTCGCGATATTTTCGCCTATTTTCAGAATATTCGGGACCCAATTTTGTATTTTGGGTGATTTCATGGCATTTTAGCCCACTTTTGGAATATTCGGAGTCCGAATTCATATTTTCGATCGTTCTACGACGTTTTCGCCCATCATCGGAATATTCGAGAGCCAATTTTATATTTCCAGATAACTTTGAAGCATTCCGGTCACTTTCAGGGTATTCGGGTCCTACGTAAACTCCAACGGGTACATGAGTCTAAACTGTTTCCCATCTTGACAGGAAGTTCTTGGAGAATATTACATATAATAATTCTTAAGGATAACCTGGCAACCTCCGACGGGTACACGAGGTTAAACTGATTCCCAAAACTCCCAGGAGTATACGAGTATAAACTGGTTCTCCTCAGATCGATTCGAAACCCTAAGGTCAACGCCGGTCAGCGCGTAGCCCTAGGTCAACGCCGGTCAACGCGTTGCGATAAAAGTCAACACCGATCGATTCGAAACCCTAAGGTCAACGTCGGTCAACGCGTAGCCCAACACCGATCAACGCGTTGCGATAAAAGTCAACGCCGATCGATTCGAAACCCTAAGGTCAACACCGTTCAACGCGTAGCCCTAGGTCAACGCCGGCCAACGCGTTGCGATAAAAGTCAACGCCGATCGATTTGAAACCCTAAGGTCAACGCCGTTCAACGCGTAGCCCTAGGTCAACAACGGTCAACGCGTTGCGATAAAAGTCAATGCCGATCGATTCGAAACCCTAAAGTCAACGCGGAGCAACGCGTAGCCCTAGGTCAACGCCGGTCAGCGCGTTGCGATGCAGATAATTAATCCAAAAGTCAACTCAATAACACGAGTCAAAGTCTACTCACCAATTTTGGTTCAAGGCTTCAATAACGGTCAGACGATAAACGCATTACCGGGAGAATCTTAGCTATTCGACAAAATACAGAATATGCTAAAATATGGAGAAGTCAAGAATCGAAATCATCTGTAGGTCCCTTAACACTGACTGAAGGTGGGGATCCATCATATCCAAAGCATTTCAGACTCCTCTATAAAAGAATGAGGCTGAAACACTTTGGAGGGGGTATCTGTAGGCGTCTAAAATTGTCTACGAGAGCCCGCACGAAGCTCGAAGCAATGAATGGGCGAGTCAAGAAGATTCACCTAATCGGCTTGTACACGCCGGTCAACACGCGTACGTCAAATCATCTCGTGCGCATCGATCAAACGCGTACACGTCAACCAGCTCGTGCGCGTCGGTCGACGCGCGCACGCCAATCAGTCCGCGCGCATCAATCAACACGCGTATATTAACCAAAGCGCGTTCGACGGTCGGTCTTGCGGCATTGCGAAAAAAGTCAACAAATCGACCAAACACGCGAAAAGAACAAGTCTCGGAAGAAAGAGAACAGAAAAAAGGAAAAGTCGGCAAAACCGCGCGAGCGCAGGACGGAACGAACCGACCCACGCAAGTGCGGGTCGGGTCAATCCGACCCGCAATTGTGCAGGTCGGATTGGTCCGACCCGCACAAGCGCGGGTCGGATTGGTCCGACCCACGATTGTGCGGGTCGGATTGGTCCGACCCGCGCAAGCGCAGGTCGGATGGATCCGACCCACGCCGCGCAGTCCGGAACCTGAAACATGTTTTGACGGTTTTAAAGTTGTTTTCACAGGATTTATTTGTTATAGGGGTTTCCAACTAACTTGATATCATCCCCAAACGTGGTTAGGCTGTTGTTAACTGAAGATAGAGCCAAATCACTTGTTAAACGTGGTTAGGCTGTTGTTAACTGAAGATAGAGCCAAATCACTTGTTCTCATCCAAATAACCGCATCTGAGGCCTATAAATATGAGCCAAAGTGAAGATAGAGCCAAATCACTTGTTCTCATCCAAATAACCGCATCTGAGGCCTATAAATATGAGCCAAATGCCTCCATTTTCGAGATCTGGAATTTTACCAAGAGGACGAGGTGCTGCTGGATTGGGGAGTCAAGGAGCACGAAATTTCAGCGAAGGCGAACGAGATCCCGGCGAACTTCGGCACAAAGGAGAAGCCCTTCGAAGGATCTGAAGTCCGTATATCCGTTCCTTGAGATTAGGCTTTGTCTTAATCTCGAGAAGAGCCCTGATTTCGCTTTGTCGATTTCAGCGCTTCAAGCAAATACCCCTTTGGTGAGGTAGAAGCTCTGCCCAATTTGTTGACCCTATAGTTTTGATGATGATTTGACAAACAATTTATTACTAATAAGTTTTCTAGTGTTTTTGTGTTTATGGTCTCTTTTCAGGTATTTCAACACAAGTCAATCAAGCGTTAAAGATTCAAGTTCTATTGTGTGGTTTTACCTAGGTATATTGTTTAGTTTACTTACATATATTGTATGATGATATCTAAGCTCAATATAATTGTTTAGTACACTTACATATATTATATGATTATATCTAAGCTCAATATATGTACACTTAACACGATTTTTGATGTTTTCTATCATATAAATGATTCTTCATCAAACGTTGTTACAATAACTTTTATCTCATGTTTACAGCTCTTTCCTACTTCATTTTATATACATATATTATATGTACAATATATATATGAATATTTACAAGTCCTATATCAACTTTCACTTTCATAAAAATACAGGTTTTCTAAGCATTTTTCAAAAACAGGTAGTTTTCACAAACGAAAATTGTTTTTCCACAAATTCCTTTTCAAACATGTTTATTTCATCATTTAGAAACTTTTCCCAAAGTTTCACTATTTTTGGATGTGATGCCCAAAACCTGTCAGTATTGCCTATATCAGTTTTCGGTCGACCGGCCCGGTTGACCGACAGTGGTTTTATGAGCTCATGCTCGCGGTCGACCGCACCGGTCGACCGAGAGAATTTCCGGTCGACCGAGAGAATTTCCGGTCGACCGAAAATTCCGTCGGTCGACCGCCATCTCTAAACCCTGATTCTTTGAGTTTTTGTGCTTCGCGGTCGACCGGACCGGTCGACCGCCGAACGGTCAGAATGTTACAATGGCTAGTTTTTCAAAATTGGTTTTGGACTTTTGCTCAGTTGTTTGCTGCTGTATTGGGGTACTATATATACCCCATTGCTACTCTTCCTCATTATCACCAAGAAATCCAAGTTTGCTGTTTAACAAGATATTAATTGTGTTTAAGAGCTGTTTAAGAGTTGTTTCATTAATCAGTTTTCAAGAGAAGTTTTTCTACAACAAGAAGAGGCTTTCAAATTCTATTGAGATCATCATTTCTTCAGCTCATCTTGTCATTGAGAAGTTTTCTAAACTCTTTCCTATATAGCTTATTATTTCACTTTCATTTGATTAGCTATATTTATTGAGTTTTAGTTATTGAGTTTCATTCACTATTGTCACACACACTTATTGAGCTTAATATTCTCATATTATATATCGTGGGTTGTGGGGTGTGATTTAGTGAGTGTGAGCTTTATTGTGTTCTCACTTGTTAATTAAGAGCAAATCATTGTATTTAACTTTTATTTGTGAGAATCATTTGTAATACACTTGTACACCGAGAGAGGAGAGGTTGTAATCGAGCACTTGAGGAGGAGGACACGGGCTAGGTTCCTACACTTAGTGTGTAAAGTGTGATTGTTGAGTGATTGTGTAGTGTGAGAGTTTTCGGTGAACTTGTAAACCGAGTGTGTAGAAGTTCCGGCTTCCAAACCGGATTGTGATAGTGGATATCTCCTCGAGGTGAGGAGCGGGGACGTAGGTCGTGGGGACGAACCTCGTGAACATATCGTGTGTTTGTGTTTTGCTTGTCTCATATTTTATTTGTGCATATTCTTATCAGTCTTATTGCTCTTATTGTTCATATCTATCTCTTGCAAGAACATATTGATCTATATAATTTTAATTAGGATTTTATTGGAATTAGATTAGCATAAAACCCTAATCCCCCCCCCCCCTCTAGGGTCTAACAATTGATGGAAAATTATTGAGGATGCTTATGTTGTTCCTATTTTGGAAAAATCAAAATGGTGTGACAATGACAAAAGATTGTTTAACATGAATAAGCTTTTGTTAGAATATTTGATTAACGCTTTTCACTCATCGTTTTCTAACAAATTTGCTAATTTTGATAGTGCTTATGTCTTATGGAAATTTATTGAAGCACATGAAGGAGAATTGGAGGCAATTCAACAAGTATTGGAAAATCCCGCTTTGAGTTCTAAAGAAGTCTCATCTCCATGTACAATACCACTAGGTGATAACCCTAGTGAGGTATGCGATAACGATGATATTATTACTTTTGATGAACTTGCTCTTGAGTTTGAAAAATTACACAATTGCTATATTGATGTAAAGAGTAAGTATGTTAATATGAAATCCACTCATGAAACACTAGCTACTAAGTTTAATTTTATTGCAAATGAAAATATAATTCTTAAAGAATGCAATGAAAATTTGAAAATTAAAAATGCTAGTTTGCTTCATGAAAAACGTGATGCTATGTTAGAAGTAGATAAGTTGAAATCTATGATGAGTAATCTTGTTTATCCTACTTCTAGTAGCAATGCTTGTATGCACAATGATGAGTTGAATCAAATGAGAAAAAGAATATCTATCTTAGATTCAACACTAAACACTTGTATTGC